GACGAGGAAGAAGACGTAAGTAGATGCTGGATGACCTTGGGGAGAGAAGAGGATACTGTCATTTGAAGGAGAAAGCTCTAGGTCGCATTAAGTGGAGGAATTGTTTTGGAAGAGACTGTGGACCTGTCGTCTTGACAGATTACTGATGATGATGACATGTCTAAGGAAGCCAGGACTCCACCCAAACAAGTGCTTTGTCATATATCATGCAGTAAAGTCGTACCATTTGGAATGTACCTAATAGAAATATTTTATAACTGATAAAGAGAGAAAAAAATGTCATCTTTCCAGTAGAAAATTCTATTTTTTCATTACTATTTTTTACGCACAGAGCAACCCGCCACTGACACAGGCATATTGAATCATCCTGTTATCATGCATTCATTATACATGGGGCAATCCAAAAGTTTCCGAAATTTGAATTTTGTGTGCAAATGGTTATGAGTACATCGAAATACCACTACGTGTCTCCTCACACATCCTTCTTGAATCAGTGTGACAGGTGGCGTCGAGTTGAGTGGTTGCGTTTATTGTTGGTGAATGTATTGCCATTGTTGTTTCCGTGAGTTTGAGGTTTTGCGATGGCTGACCTGAGAGAGCAGCATGTCTGTATAAAGTTTTGTTTCAAACTTGGGAAAACCGCTGAAGAAACGCACCAAATGTTGAAGCAAGCTTTTGGTGAGAACAGTTTAGGCCAGACACAAACTTACAACTGGTATAAGCGTTTTAAAAATGGCCGAACATTGACTGATGATGATGATCGTTCGGGACAGCCGTTAACGGGCAAAACACCAGATGTGTGTCACGAAAGTGAGGGATCTGATTCTGCAAGACCATAGACTGACTATCCAAGTNTTTTTATATTGACGGGATTGTTCATAAGGAGTTCGTCCCTCCTGGTGACACAGTCAATAAAGAGTTCTATCGCGATGTTCTAAGGTGTTTGAGGGAGAACATGAGGAGAAAACGTCCAGAGAAGTGGCGCCTGAACAACTGGGTACTCCACCATGACAACGCACGATCCCATAAGGCTTACATCGTGCAGGAATTTTTGGCTAAAAACAAGATGGCAGTTGTTCCCCACCCACCGTACTCGCCAGACTTAGCTCCATGAGAACTCGACTTAATGTCATTCTCTGGAGAACGACTGTAAACTCTGTAGCCCCATTCACTACATGTGTCACTAGTGACAGGGTACAGTCTGTAGAAATATTTTACACAGAATTCAAGAAGTATGAACTGTGATCTTTGCAGACCATATTTTCATCAAACTTGGTGACATTTCTTCTGTTTTATACAAGTTAAGAAAAACAAACCACCTCATTATAGTAACTGCAATAAAATGATCAGTGGAATTTAAATAAGACCAGCAGAGAAAAACAGTGGTATTTAAATGGAACTGCAAAGGGTTAAGTATAAATGTGAGTTAATAAGAGCTCTTACCGAGTTCACAGACGCAAATGAAGTGATGCTCTTTGAGCCTGTAACTGTGTTGCGTAACAGTTTCAATAACCCACAAACTTGACAGTTAAGGACACAAGTGGCCAGAATACATCTGCTACATACAGCCCCCTCCCCCATCACGATCTCAAATATTTTTTTAAATGTAATTTAAGATTAAACTCATAACCACTCACATAAAGTTCATGATGAAATTAAGTCAGAAAATATTTATTATTCAAACCTGTGTGAGCTCTTGCTGCAGCTTGCGGCACTCCTTCTCACGCTTCCGCAGATCTGCTGATGAGACCTTGTTCTTACGGCCAGTGTTGCTCATATCTTTCCGGTTCATGATTTCTGCCAGCTTATTCACAGCCTGCATCTTCAGCAATTGTTCCTGCTTGAATTGTTTCCTCAGCCTCTCAAGCTCTTCACTGTTGCTGTTTGCCTTTGCAATGTCTGCACAACACAAAAGTCATCTGTGCATTAAGATCTAGACAGGCTTAAATGACTGGACTGAAACAAATTAAATAACTGTACTGAATTGCTTATAACACAAAATTTCAGCAGTGTTTTCTATTAGCAACAACATTTAAGAATATCCTTAAATTTTTAAATGACCCATCTTAAATCACAGTGAATACGATATGATACTGAGGGATTTCACGGTGGTGACTGTCCACTCTATCACCTCCACGGCATAGATAATATTCTCAAATAAAAAAATATCCACATTTCTCCCAAATGTTGGCACTTTTAGTTACTTGGCATGGTGCTATAATGCAGATAATGCGATAGGAAGGATGAATAATGCCAAATTTCTTACCTTCCTGCATCATTTTCAGTTGACGATTTGCATCATCCTTATCTTTCAGCAACTGATCCACAGACTTCTTATAATCTAGTTCCCTTTCCTTCATCTGCAAATACAACAAAATCACATACAATTACTTAATAACATATGGATTAAGTAATGCAGATCTAACACTTACATAAACTCTGTAACTTCAACTACTGCTCCACTTGCACACGTGACTTAAGGCTTTATAAGAAAGATGTCACCAAGTGTCACTTTTATCTATACATAAATATAGCAAGAACATTAAACTCAGACAAAAAAAAAGATAAGATTGGCCAAAAATGAGAAAGGCATTAATTCAATCCCTGTCTATTACTATCAGCCTGCTTGGTACAGATCATGTAAAGATATGTATACAAATGTTGCACAAAACTATTTTTATGTTGGAAAGTTTCAGTATTAAATATAACATGCAAAATGAGGCCAGACTTGGAGAGTTTCAGGTTCTAGAAGCGTAATTGCTAGAATAATGTATACTCTAATATCTCCAATATTTTTCTACATTGTAATTTTTCATCATAACACAAGGCATGATTTTCTACAGCTTTTATAATATTGTGACGTGTTGTGCTATGGAGGACACCCCCTCAGCCCGTCAGCGGTGACATGGCACTTTCAGAGTGTTGCCCTTGCTACAGTAATAGGCAGGTCAACACCCTCCTCCCCCGCCAGCTGTGACAGGCCGAGCGGAGCCGAAGTGAGCCAAGTCCAAGCACACTGGTCACTATTCAAAGCAAGTAAATAGCAGTTGCTAAGCAAAGCGAGTAAACAGTGGTTGCTAGAGACGACGGTAATAAACAGCGGTACCCATTACATAACAGGCAAACATGGTGACTACACAACAAGGAAGCGAGGCATTTCCCGTTGTCCGGCTGAGGGTTTATAAGAGAACTACCCTGCCTACAAAGCCACTTAAAATGTAGCAGCCACTGAAGTGAGTTTTCAAGGCAGCAGCCTTGAGTGAGTTGCAGTTTAGCGATTGCGGGGAGAAGACCCGAACATGTGATCAGAAGAGTTATTGTGTGATACTCAGTGATAATTTGTGACAACTGAGAAGTGATTGGGAGTGTGTATTACAGTGACACTCGTATAGCTCCCATGTTACAACTATGTGAAGAAGACTATTGAACAGATCATTTTGTAGGGTTTATAATTTGTCAATACCCATTACTTTGTTATAATTAATTGTAGAAAAGACTTGTAGGTTCTTAAATAAACCAATTAACAATCTGAACAGCGTCTTCAGTGGCAAAACATGTTATAATATAAATAAATCAACAATTGGTAATGAGAGCTTACATGAAATTAGTAATGATAATTGAGTTAGAGTAGAAAACGTTACCATATCAAAAAATCCTACTGTAAAAAGTACAATGTTCTCACACTGTAACAATCATAAATTTATTGGGACATATCCTGATGGGAAGACACACAACCAAACTGAAAATATTTTGACATATAGGAGATGGCATTCAAGTATACTTTGTGTCTGATCATACAGGGCATCAGATTCTGATCCTGACCACTACCTGGTGGTGGCAAAGGTTAGGGAAAGACTGGCAGTGAGTAAACAAACAATGCACAGAATTCATACGGAGAGGTTCAATCTCAAGAAATTAAACAAGGTAGAGGGTAAGGAGCAGTACTGTGTTGAAATCTAAAATAGGTTTGCAGCTTAGGAAAACTTGGACACTGAGGTGGATGTCAATAAAGCTTGGGAAACTATTAGAGAGAATGTCAAAATTTCTGCCAAAAATAGTCTAGGCTATTATGAGGTGAAGAAGCATAAGCCATGGTCTGACGAAGGATACTGAAAATTAATAAACTGAAGGAAACAAGCCCAATTAAAGCGGTTACAGGATCCATGCGAAATAAATGGGTATAATCTGAACAATATATGACGTGAAACCAGCAGGCATTTCAAGAATAAAGAGAGGGAACATCTGAAAGAAAGGGTGATGAACTTGCAACGCACAGTAAGAACAAGAACGTTAGAGACCTGTATAGAGGAATAAATGACTTTAAGAAGGGCTACCAGCCTAGCAGTAACTTAGTGAAGGCTGAGAATGGTGATCTTGCAGACTCCCACAATATTTTGAATAGGTGAAAGAACTACTTCTCTCAGTTACTTAATGTACATAAGGTCAGTGATGTTAGGCAGATAGAAATACATACAGCCGAGCTGCTAGTATCTGATCCCAGCTATTGCAAAATTGTCTGATCAGTGGGGAGTCTATTATTGTACCAGTTCACAAGAAGGGTAAGAAAACTGACTGTAGTAGTAACTCTGTCCAATATTCTTCACTCAAGGTTAAGTTCGTATATAGATGAAATGGGGTCATCAGTGTGGGTTTCAAAGTAACAAATCAACTACTGATCAGACCTTTCACATTCATCAGATATTGGAGAAAAAATTGGAGTAACGAGACAGTACATCAGCTATTTGTAGACTTCAAGAAAGCCTATGATTCAGTTAGGAGGGAAGTATTGTACAATATTCGCATAGAGTTTGGGGTACATATTAAACTAGTTAGGCTGATTAAAATGTGTTCTAAAATTTTTTTAGGGAAATACATATAGGTAAACATTTGTCTGATAATTTTTTCTATCCAAAATGGTATAAAACAAGGAGATGCTTTATTGATACTGCTTTTCAACTTTGCTTTAAAATATGCCATTAGAAAGGTCCAGGAAAACCAGGTGGGACTGAAATTAAATGGGACATATCACCTGTTTGTTTATGCTGATGATATGAATCTACTGGGTGATAATAAAGATACCATACAGAAAAACACACAAACTTTAACCTGGCATTAATAAGGTGGGGTGTCACAGACCTTAACGATTTTAATTTGACTGTAACTTTTTAAGAGCACATGGCAGTGAGTTGTGCCTCAGTGTAGCACAGCTTCCCTTCCCGTAGCCCGCTACCTGATGCCATAGATGATAGACTGTTGCCTGCAAGCAAGTTTAGTGTGCAGACATGTAAATTGTGCTGGGATCCACCATACCGCAGCTTACCAAAAGTGTGATTATATTTACTTCCAAAACTTAAGTTCTCTTCATGTATATTCTACTAAAATATTGTAACGTGGATGACGCAACAGGAAGTAGGGGTCACGTGAACTCTGCGTTTCTGCGAGTGACATCACATACCCCCATTCTTTCTATCACTATGCAACGCTTGGTAAACACCCCTCACCGCTAGGCTGTGATGTCACGCAACAGGGGAGGCCATGCAGCGATTTTTGCTAGGCAATCGGTAAACACGACATCACACAACAGCGGTAGCTATCATGTAACTGTTTTCTGTGTGGTCAGTGCGGAAGCTACATAATGAGTATTCATCAGAGAGAGCCAGTTATTAGAGAGAGAGTTACTAGTATTGAGTATGAGTACTCAGTATCCAGTATAAGTTGAAGCCTTGAGACAGTCACTGTTGAAGAGAGTGGGAGCCCAGCATTCGCCGAGAGATAGTTGAACAGCAATTGAGATACCGGATTGTATAAGACTGAGACTGTATAACTGTGAATTGTATAAGCGTAAAGTGAAGGAGAGTAAATATTCGTCACATCCTTAACCTATGTGAGATTATTTGTCATGTTACATACCTGACATGCGACAACTAGTGTTTCAGAAGTGGGATACAAACTTAAACGCGAAGACCACATATATAAATGGATATATAGCAGATGTTGGAACTCCTGATCGCCAAGACAGATGCAAATACAAAGGCCATGGAAGAAAAAACAGAAGCCATCCGAGCAGAAACGAAAGCCTGGCAAGAAGAGATGGCCGCCATGTGAAAACAAATGGAAGCCAGCCACAAGGAGATGGTGGCCAAAACCAAACCGGAAAGAGACATGGAGATGATGACCTGCCAAGAGATGGAGGCACGTCTAGAACAGCCGACCTCAGTTGACATGAAACCGGAGGTGGCACAAGAAGAGGTGCCCAAAGAAGACACCGAAGTGATGCTGGCCAGAGAACCGAAGAAGAGGAAAACGGTGTAGGGACCGAAAACTGGCCGTGGAGCGCCGCCCCAGAAACCAAATAATTCGACACGGGAAAAGTGGGGATCCCAGAAAAGACTGGCTGTCACACGCAGAGGGAGCCGCCATGCAAAAGTAACACAGCAGACAAAGGAGACTGGCACAAAGATGTCTGGTCATCCAAGAATTGCCTGGCGCAAGAGAAGCGTCGGTAGGAGAAACTATATCAGGACCAAGTATGAGGAAAGAATCCGGAGACTCAAAGAAAGGGTGCAGATTTTCCACAAAGGAAGAATGGGAATAAAGAACATAGGAAGCAGATAGCCACTATGCCAGAAGATAAAAGGTGCCAACCAAGAACACCATCAGAGGGCGTAGATCATGACAGCAATTGCACATAGGAGGGAGAAGATCTCATAAGAAGACCTTCTACAAGACTGTCAGCATGAAGATCGTGAAGCGAAGTCACATCTTCTGTCGGCCTACGACAAGACAAGGATTGGACCTTGTGGAGGGGTCGACCCCCTCCAAAATGGAAAAAGAGACTGCAAGTAGAGGAACTGGTAATGTAGAAACACCGGCCTCCCAGGCATGAATGGAGAATGAAAGATGATAAGTACATGAGAGTGACTGGTAATAAAACTGAAATGGCTTGCGTCCTACCACAGAGCTGCTTGGGATGAGCACCCTTAAAAGAGGGGGCAGCTGCGGTAGAATAAACCCCGCAATAAAGACCTGGAGAACGGCAAGACCGAATGCAGACATTGCTAGCAGGAATCGGAATCTGAGGAAACAACAGGAAGAAAAGGAACGGGGATGTACGTGGATGGCGCAACAGGAAGTAGGGGTCACGTGAACTCTGCATTTCAATGAGTGACGTCACATACCCCCACTCCTTCCATCACTATGCAACACTTGGTAAACATCCTCACCACTAGGCTGTGACGTCACGCAACACGGGAGGCTGTGATGTCATGCAACAAGGGAGGCCATGCAGCGACTGTTGCTAGGCAATCGGTAAACACGACATCATGCAAGAGTGGTAGCTATCATGTAACTGTTTTCTGTG